CGCGACCGCGCGCGCCGCACCTCACGACGCGCCCCGCGTCGACGGGCGTCGCGCGCCCGTCCGAGGTCGTCGACGCCCGAGCGCGCGGTCGTGAACCTTAAAGAGCGTTTGCCCGAGCGCGCGAGGACGACGGCGAGTGATTCCAATGACGCATTCCGACCCCGCCGCCGCCACGGGTCCACGCGGAAGAGCGCCGACGACGAACGACGCCCTGCGCGCGCGCATCGCCGAGCTCGTCGTCTTGGCGCGCGGTGGTGACGTCAAGGCGTTCGTCGATCGATTCATTCCGAGAGACATCGACGCCGACGACGCCGAGGCGTTCGAGAAGAGTCTTCGAGACGACGCCGAGCGTCTCGAGTTGCTCGCGCGCGAGCTCGAACTCGTCGACGCGGGCGAACCGGTGTGCCGCGCGTGCGGCGGTGACGGCGTCACGCGCGTGTCGTTTCGATTCGAAATGCCGAACGAGGGCTCGGCGGTGACGATCGATCGCGAGGTGACCTTCGTGGATTACGCGCGCGACGGCGAGGCGAGCGACTGGCGCGCCGAGGGCTGAGCGCGCGCGCGACCGAACGACGCGCGCGAGATGTGTAACAGTACGACGATATCGTCATCGTCACCCCGCATCGAGCGCGTTCGTGCGTCGTCGACGACCTTGAGACGAGGACGCGCTTTGGCTCGACGCGGATAAAGATGATGTCCACGCGCGTCGCGCGTACGCATTGTCGAGCGCGCGCGTGGTCGAACCCATCGCGCGTTCGCGCGCGCGCGCGAGACGTCACATCACCACCGTCGCCTCTCGCGCCCGCGCACGCCCGCGCATCGAGCGCATCGAGCGCGTCGTCGTCGTCGTCGTCGTCGTCCCGCCGCCGCCCACGCCGATCGCGCGAGTGGTCGACGGACGATGGCGTCGACGCCGACGACGACGTCCGGACGACGCGACGTCCCGTCGGTGTACGATCACGCCATCGCGGGACAGATCGCTGGCATGGTCGGCCTCACGCTCGTGCACCCGCTGGACACGGTGAAATCGAGACTCCAAACCGGGTGCGCGCTGGCGCAGACGCTGGACGGACGCCGACGCGGCGCGTACGGGGTGGCGGTGAATTTATTACGAAAAGACGGCGCGAAAGGGCTGTACAGAGGGATCACGGCGCCGATGATGGCGTACGGGGCGATCAACGCCGTGGCGTTCAGCGCCAACGCGGGCGCGAAGGATTTCCTGCGAACGACGCTCGGCGCGGAGGCGGCGGCGAGCGCGCCGGCGGGCGCGTTGACGGGCGCGTTCGCGGGTTTAGTGTCATCGTTCGTTCGTGGTCCAGCGGAGCGATTAAAAACTGTGCAACAGGTGATTGATTGCGATAGCGGAAGGTACAGAAGCGCGACGTCGACGGCGCTCACGTTGGTGAAGGAGCACGGCGTCGTCAGAGGACTTTTTACCGGAACGGGCGCCACGATCGCTCGAGAAATACCGCAGTGCGCCGTGTATTTCCTCACGTACGACAAAGTCAAGAGCGCGTGCCTTCGTGCGCTCTGTGGAGACGCGGACGCGCACGACGCTCCGGCGGCGGCTCGCGCGGGGGCGATTGTTCTCGCCGGCGGCTCAGCCGGCGCGTTCCAGTGGCTCTTGACGTATCCTCTGGACGTCACGAAGAGCAGAATTCAAGCCGCTCCACCGCACACATACTCGGGTGTGATCGATTGCGCGGTGAAGTCGGTCGTGAAGGAGGGGCCGCTCGTTCTCTTCCGCGGCTTGAACATGGCGCTCCTGCGAGCGTTTCCGCTCCACGCGAGCATCTTCGCCTCGTGCGAAGCGGTGCACACGATGCTCGCGCGCGCGCGCGGAATCGATCGGTCGAACTCGTGACGCGTCCATCACATTCTTGCATTATTTATCGTCGTCTCCGCCGCGCGCGGCGGGCTCGACAGTCGTCGTCTCGCATCATCATTCGTCGGTCTCTCCGCCGCGCGCGGGGGGTCGTTTGTAACTTTTTAGATTAGTTTCCCTATAACACTCGGTGACTGCGAGTAGCGCTTCACGAAGTTCAACATCGCCCGCGGAATCTACTTCTTCTTGCCCTTCTTCACTTCTTCTTCGACGACGGTCTTCTTGCCCGCCGCCTCTTCCGCTTGCGCGCGCGCGTTCGCGAGGACCCCGCGCTTTTGCTTGACGGAGATCCCCTTCTTCTTCGTCCCCTCCAGCGTGTACGCGCTCATCGACGCCTCGGTGGAAGAGAAAGCGATGCCAGAGCCGCGGCCGAGACCACCGCTCGACGCTTGGGACGGGATCGTGATCGCCAGCGCCGACTTGGCCGCGAGCGCCGCCGCGGCGGTGAAGGAGACGAGCGCCGCGCGGCGCGTCTCGCGCGCGTCCTCCGCCGTCGCGGCGGTGGTGACGCGTCGCGCGCGTCGCGCGTTCACCGGAGCGGTCTGTGCGCGCGCGAAAACACCCCGTGACGCGTCAGTCCATGTCCATCCACCGTCCACGTCGCCACGCGCGACGCCGCGATCGACTTCATCGCGTCATTCGGACGATCGCACACGTGGACGACACCTCGCCCACCCGGATCCCGGATCCGCGTCCTCCCTCGTCGCGCGCGCGAAGACGGGACGTACGATTCGAGAGCTCGTCACTGTGGACGCGGCGGCGAACATCGCGCGCAAAGTCACGGTGTGGCGTCGACGAAGAGGGTCGACGACGAGGCAAAGATACGCCCGAGTGGGAAGATTTCATACAACGTGATTTCACCCACACCCACACGGGCATTTACTCGGGTCGTGTACGGGCGACACGGCCTCGACGGGACGACACCGACCGACGCTCGATCGAGGGCATCGCCCGAACCCTAGATGTCACACCCCGAAAACGTCGTGGACGCGTGATGTCTCGCGCGATCGTCTTCTCGTCTGTGACGGAACCATTTGGTGGTTCGACCGACGACGACGAGACGTCGAGCGAGACATTCGCGCGCGCGCCGACGAGCGATGGAGCGCGAGCGCTTGCTCGTCCGCGACGGCGACCGGGACGGATGGACGTCGACGTCGATTGGCGTCGACCACGGCGTCGAGGGCGCGAGCGCGGACGTGGACGAGCGAGCCAACACCATGGGCGGGTGGAAAAGACATCGACGACGAACCACGGCGGTGGTCACCAGCGCCGTCGTCGCCGGTGCGTTGGTGTGTTACGGAACGGTGTTTTCAATATTCGAGCGCGGTTTCTTCGGCGCGAGCGATCGAGGGACGCGCACGCGGAGAGAGTTCGGGGCGCTGAGCGTCCTGTCGTGGACGCCGCGCGACGGTTTTCGACGGGTGGGACGAGGCTCGGGAGGGTTGTTCAGAAATGAAATCGCGCGGAATCATCTGATGCACACGATTGAGAGGTACTATCCGTCGAGGTTGACCAACGCATCGGCGCCGTTCGAGGTGAACTTTATCGTCGACGACTGCCCGCACACGCCGTGCGCGGATCCGAGATACAGGGCGAAACATTGTCACGTCGATCAGTGGGAGCCGATATTCGCCTTTGGAAGCGCGCCAAAGGATGCGAGCGTGTTCCCCACCATGGTATCTTCCACGCTCGTGCCGCTGATGTACTGCGTGGCTGCCGAGCAGTCGCTGGCCAATGCGAGCTTTGTCGTGACGAGCGAAACGGAACCCGCGTGCGATTTCCTAAAGTATCCCGCGGTGATCGATAACAAACCAGAGTGCGATGCGAAGAGCTCGAAGCGAGGAGATTCGGCGTGCAGATATTTCGGTTTATTCAATCTGAACATCATGCCAAACAAAAGTGATTATGAGTGGGACAACTTGTTGAAGCGCGGAATCTGGCGCGGCTCGGATTACCCGCTGTACACGGGCTTTTGGCCCAACAAGAAAACCAACGGGCTCCGTTTCCAACAGCGACTTATGCGTACGAACGCGAGCGAGACAACGAGGGAGATTGAAGCCTTGCTCAAGGGTAGGGAAATCGGCCCGAGGTTGCGCGCCGTGTTGATGTCGAAACGGCATCCGGAGAAACTCGACGCCAAGTTTTTCAACTGGGGAGGGGGAGGTCCCAGCCCTGGCCGAGACACGCTCGACTTCGTGGACACGAATCACATTGAGATGGACACGTTCGCGAGGTACAAGTATCAACTCGATCTCGGCGGAGGCGGGGGTACGACGTGGAGCGGTTTGATTCCGAAACTCTCCGTTCCGGGCGTGCTATTCCATCACGAGACGATGATGAAGGATTCGTATTTCGACACGCTCAAGCCATACGTGCACTACTTACCTCTGAAGGAAGACCTCAGTAACTTTGACGAGCTCGCGGCGTGGGTGGAGGCGCATCCGTCGGAGGCAAAGGCGATTTCAGACGCGGCGACGGCGTGGGTCCATGAATTCAGAAAGCTTGCGAATTTGCTCAGGTACAATTACGAGGTGCTCGTGAAGCCGCTCGCGAGAGCGCTCGATAGTAGCGGCGAGTTGCGGCCGATCCCGTTCGAGATCGCGCATCCGGGAGTATAATTTGTATCGTAAACGTCGCGCCGCAGTCGAGAGACGCGTCGCGTTCGTACTCGCGCAAAGTCACGCCGCCGCCGCGCTCTTGCTCTCCTTCTCGCTTCCTTTCGATCCATGCGCCTCCGATCCCGCGGGTTGTCCGTCGTCCCCGGGATCTCTTCGCGCGCCCAAACTCGATTCCGGGCTCGGAGCGCCCGATCGCCTCGCGCGCACTCGACGCCGCGACGCGTCCGTTCGGTCCGAGTCCACCTCGTTCGCGAGCGCGTTCGCATCCAGCGCCTTGGATGGGTCGAGCAAAAACTTTGCCTCCTGCACGCGTTTCGCCACCGCGGCGTTTCGATCGTCGCGCGACGATCTCGACGCTTCGTCGACGCCGTCGACGCGTAGCGCCGCCCTCGCCGCGTTCGCCTTTGTCTTCGCCGCGTTCGCCTCTTGCACCCCCGCGTTCACCGCCTCACGCTTACCGAACGCCCCCGGTGGGGTCGGCTTCAACGAGTCTCTCCTCGGCGGACAGATCGCGGTGGACACCTGCGGGACGATGGGCCACTGTTTCTGCGCCTCTGGCGCCCCTCCGGTCCCGCCGCCGCCCCGCGCGCGCTCTTGCGAGACCACGAACGCGCGCGCGTGCGCCTCCATCGCGGCCCGCCGCATGGCCTCTTGCATCAATCCCACGTGATACATCATCACACTCCGCGTCACCATCTCCGCGTACGCCGCGCGCGTCCATCCCGTCGCCTCGCGTCCTCCGAGCGCGCGGGCGGAATCCGAGAATCCCCCTTTCGCCCCCGCCGGCGGTCGCCCCCTGCGCCGCGTCGGCGACGCCCCATCGCGCGCGCGCGGCATCGCCCCACTTCGCGCCCGTTTCTTCCCCGACGCCGTCGTCGTCGGCGTCGGCGTCGTCGCCACCCCGCGCCCGTGGTCGATCCCTTCGCGTGGACGTGCACGGCCGGCGTCTGTGTCGTCGTCGTTCCTCGACATCGCGCGCGCGTGCTCACGCGCGTCGGCACCGCGACGCCGCGCGTGATCACGCGCGACGTCCTTCACGGCCCGCGTCCTCGGCATCGCCGTCGCGCGGTGACGCGATCGAACGATCGAGGAATCGCGCTGACGCGGCGACGGCGGTCGTTAGGGGGCGCTGTATGAAACACCGTACGGTGCATGACACACGCGTGATGCGTGGCATGAAGTCATGAAACACCGTACGGTGCATGACACACGCGTGATGCGTGGCATGAAGTATGAAACACCGTACGGCGAACATCACACGCGTGATGCGTGGTACGAAACACCGTCGTACGGAAAACAAACATCACGCGTGCGGTGTGTCATGAAACACCGTACGGCGAACACCACCACGCGTGATCGTGGTATGAAACACCGTACGGCGAACACCAATACGCGTGCGGTGCGAAACACCGTCGTCGCGCTGACGTTATACGTGCGCACGCGAGGCGCGGTCGGTGCGACGGACGACGACGGGTGACCACGGGGGAGGACCACGGACGAGGACCGCCGTCGCCGCGCCCGTGGTCGTCCGTGGTCGGGCGTCGGTGATCGGACGTCGGTGATCGGACGCGCGCATGCCGCAGGGACAGTTGAAATCGCGCGTGAAAACCGCGCGTGGACGACGGGCGACGGTGGGGAAGACGACGACGACGACGGGGAATCGACACGGAAAGATCATCAAGCAGCGCAAGGGGACGTTTGAGAAGAAGCCGAAGAAGACCGCCGCGGTCGTCGCGCGGGCGACGAGCGCGGCGATCACGCGGGAGGTGAACGCGAAGAACGAATTGGAATTCAGTCGCAAGGCGACGTCCTCGGGCGGCACCTTTCGCGTGTTACGCCGACCGGAGGGGGTGGAGTTGGACCCGCGACTGCGAGGACCGAAACCGAAAAAGGCGAAACCGGTGGTGAAGACGCCGGGGCAATTGCAAAAGGAGAAGGAGGCGGCGAAGTGGTCGTATTAATACGACGCGCGCGTTCGTCGCAACGTCATGCGCGCGGAGGAGGGCGAGCATCGCGGGGGGGGGGTCGGCGATGTCGGTTCGTTCGCTCGACGCGTACGAGTCGTGCACGAACGAAACGCGTTCATCACGCTGCCTCCAGATATCGTCTCGGCGGTGCTCCGGTCGAGAGACGCCGGCGGCGAGTATCCGCGACACGTCGTCTTGGAGTTTCGGGACGAAAATTCACGCGGAAAGCCGCGCGTAGTGCACTGCGCGTGGGCTGGTGGTGTCACGTCTGGGGGGGAGACGACTCGCGAGATCGGCGTCCCACACGCGTTGGCCGAGTTGCTCGACATCCAGGACGGAGACGACGCGCGTCTCACGTTCGGCGCGCCCTCGGAGTCCGCGACGGCGGAGAGCGTGACGGTTTCACCGCTCTCCGCGGATGATTGGGAAGCGGTTCTGGGTCAGGCTGAGGCGATGGAGGCGACGCTTTTGTCACAAATCGGGCTCGCGGCGCTCGGTCAGGCGGTTCCTTTCTACGCTCCTGGAGGTGGAAAGCCGCTCTCTTTACGAGTTCTTTCAATCAATCCCTCAGATGTCGCGGTGGTGCGGTTAGCGCCGGACACAGAGCTCATCGTTGAACCGTGGTCAAAGGGTGAGGCGGACGACGTGGACGACTTGGAAGAGTACTTGAAGGATGGTATAGATTTACGCGAATGGTTGAAGAATTACGACGAGACGAAGACGTCAACGGCGCTGCGCTTGCAAAATCCCACGGGGAGATGCGCCGAGCTGTTGCACAAAAGACTTCGGGATATCTCTTACGATGCACGCGAGGTGGGACGTTTCGAGCAAGCCTTGGAGGTGCCGGTGACTACCTCCATTGCCGTGTCTGCAGCAACCGCGAAGGAGCACAAGATGCGTCACGGCTCTCTCGTGCGCGTCTTCAAATATTCGTTTGAACGCGAGTTTGACTTGACAAGAACGGATGAAGACATCCCCTCACTCTTCTTGCAAGTATTCGTGGTGGAAGAAGAAGACGTTATCGCTCCCAAGCACGTCGCTATGTCGCAATCGGCGGCTCGCTCGCTCGCCCTATTTCAGGGTGACTACGTGCGGATCAAGGAGTGTGACGAAGCAAATGTCAGGGAGCCGACAACCTTCACCGCTCGCTTGAGGCCGTTGTTGCCACCTTTGCCGTTGGATTCCATGGAGGAGCGCGCGCCAGCAGCGGACATCTTCACAAAAAGACGAACGCTGCTATCCATCGCCAACGCGCTGGGGCCGGCGTACACCGTGGTCCTCGGTTTCAATGCGGCGGGCATCGATGTCGACAGCAAGATGACGACCAAGTTCTTAGACGACAGCGCGCGAGCACTCTTCGTGTCTTGGATGCGCGAACAGTCGTCGATGCACGATTCAAAGTCGGTCATCTTGAGCTCCAAGACTCCGGTGACGTTCAAATTGCCCAACTCTGGTCTGCACTCGGTTTTCGAATTGGAGCTCAAGTATCCATCGTCCGCGCAGGTTGAGAGTCCGGATAAGCCAGCGCGAGTGAGCCTGAAGAGTGTCGTCGATGGACAAGTCCAAATTGAACTCGGCGCGCCGATACGCTTACCTCGAAAATCGCCAGAGAGGAATCCAGCTCCAGGCGTCACGGTGTGGCCGCGAATCGCGGACGACGGTGAGTTCGCGCACATTCCCGGCGCTGCGCTGCGTGAATGCACGGATGAAGCACTCAAACAACTCAAGGTAAGTTTGTGGTTTGACGCGATCAAGATGCACGATGATTACGGCATTGGTATGTGCCCTGGAATCCTCGTCACGGGCGCGAAGGGTCGAGGACGTTCGAGACTGGTCAAGTCACTGTGTAAGCAGCTCGCTGAGGACATGAAAGCACTCAGCTGTGTCGTCGAGATTGACTGCGCTAACCTTCCAAAACCGCACATCAAAACTTTGGAGGCGATTCGCGCCGGGTTCAAGGCTGCGGACGAGCGACGGCCATCGATTTGCTATCTACTAAACCTAGAGCAGGCGTGTCCAGCGGGTGGTGAAGAGGGTGAGAAAGCAGACGACAATTACCACTTGTCTTGTCTCGTCGCAGAGGAGATGATAGAGCTCTCCGATGCGGATTCTGTGTTTTTCATTGCAACAACGAGTGAACGAGAGGCATTGTGTGAGCCTCTTCGTGAAAAAGACGTCTTTGATTACGAGTTCGAAGTTCGCAAACCTAACATGGACGCGAGAAGAGACGTTCTGTTATCTTACGCGGCGCATCGCGAGGTGCTGTTACACGAAGAAGACGCTGACGCGTTTTCGCAGTGCACTGATGGTTACGATGTTGGCGATTTGCGCGTCATGATTGATAGAGCGATGAATACTGTGATGGAACGTGAGCCGGAAGGCGTGAAACGTGAGTCGCTTCGGATCACGCACGCGGACCTGACGACCGCGGCGAAAGGATATGTCCCCATCGACCAAGCGGCGTTGGCGAAATCGGATGGCCCTCGAGGAGAGGGCGTTGATAACTACACCGAAGGTTTCGATCATATCGGCGGCTTCGATGACATCAAAGCTATTCTGGACGAAGCGATGGCACTTCCAGCGCGATATCCAAAGATTTTTGCTCAATGCCCGTTGCGTCTGCCTTCGGGCGTTCTCTTGTACGGTGCTCCGGGGAGCGGCAAATCGGCGCTCGCGAAAGCGGCAATCGTAAATGCTGGTCTACGTTCCATCACGATCAAAGGTCCCGAGTTGTTCAGCAAGTATTACGGCGAGAGCGAAGCTGAGCTGAGAAGACTGTTCCGTCGCGCACAGGACGCTGCACCGTGCGCACTGTTCTTCGACGAATTCGAGTCGCTCGTTCCACGGCGAGGAAGTTCCGACGGAGGCGTCACCGACCGCATGGTAAATCAATTCCTAACCCTTCTTGATGGCGTGGATTCGCTCGTTGGCGTGTTTGTCATCTGCGCGACGAGTCGACCAGACGTTGTCGATCCGGCGTTGTTGCGTCCAGGGCGACTCGACCACGTGCTGTACCTGCCGATGCCCGATGCGAGTCACCGCGAGGCAATCATGGAGTGCGTGCTACGTACTCGAAACGTAAAGTGCGGTCCAGGGGTCGATCTCGTCGCCATGGCTCGCGACATGGAAGGCTACTCCGGGGCTGATATCGACGCTTTCGTGAGCGAGTGCGAAAACGTCGCGTCGCGTCGCATCATCAAATCTTTTCTAGCGGAAAGCGAACTTGACAAAGAGGCGCAAGCGCCGACGGAGCCACCGCCAATCGAGGTGACCGATATCAAAGAGGCGAAAAAGACGGCAGGGAAGCCGTCTCTGTCTAAAGAGACGATTCGCTACTTTGAAGGCATACACGGTGAGTTTCGGAAAAGTCGAGAGCCGAACGCGATAATTCAAGGTGACGTCGCGACGAAACAAACGTACGCCGGCTTGTAGTTCAGTAGATCTTTCGCCAATGTGATTCTAGTCGCTAGTTCAGTTTCTTCTTCATTCAACTCAATCGCTTCATCTTGTCGTGCATCACGAGGATGAAGAGATTTCCCTTGTCGCCTCGGCTCACTCGAACCGTATCGTCGACAAAGGTGATGTCCAGAGCTCCTCGCGCACGATCGGGTGCCGTCACCTTGATCAGACCATTCAAGACATAAAATTTCTTGAACTGCACTTTCACCGCGGAATCGCTCGTGGGCGTCAGCTCGGCCTCGACGGCGTTGTAGAATGGAAACGTCTCGCGGTTCCGAGCCCGGAGCGCGTCGGCGTCGATGGTTTGGTAAATCTTCCCCGATGGTCGTAAGAAGCTCGGTTTGTTCGTACCCAAAATACTCGCTGATGTCGTGTATACGAGCTCCCACTCGCCGTTGATACACGATGCGCTGAGGGACTTCGGGTTCGGATTCAGCGCCTCGAGCGCTCGAGCCAAGTCGTCGATCTTCCTCTTTTCCTCATCGCTCGCCAAGATCCCTCGCTCGGTGCCCTCGATCGCGGCCAGAAGTGCATTCTTCGCTCGCTCGATCGCATCCGCGGACGTCGGCGAGGTGGACGCGGACGATGCGCGCGTGCGCACGCTCGAAGAGCGGTGCTCGGGATGAAACGTCATCGTCGCCATCGATCGACGAAGCGTCGACGTCGGTGGCGACGACTGCTTCGCCCGAGACGACCGCGCGGTCGCGAACGAAGTCGACGCGAACGCGCTGGACGACATCGCTCTCGTCACACGTCGAAGCGGACCGCGACGACGAGTGTGGCATTCGCGCGCGGCGAGTGAAACTCATTTTATTTTATCTCTAACTGTGGTTCACAAAGAAATGTTAAAATCGTGGGCTTCGCGCGCGAGTGATGCTATTTAGTTGTCGCCCTCATCGACCGACATCACGACACCCTCGGCGGCTTGCATCTTCTCCCTGAATTGACGACCCATCTCCTCGGCGGTCTCGAAGACGGCGGACGGGTTGCGGAGCATGTCGCCGTGGTTTTGTTCAAGCTTCTTCGTGCTCAGAGACAAGCGACCACGCTCAGCGTCCTTGGACATGACCAACACCTTGATGCGATCACCCGCAGACAGCACATTCTCGACGGCAACGATGCGCTCGTGCGAAATTTGAGAAATGTGCAACAACCCGCTCTGACCACCGACATCCACGAACGCGCCGTACGGCTTCACCGCTTGCACCATGCCCTCCACGACGTCGCCAACTTCTAAGCCTTCCGCGGACACCATGTCCGTCGCCAATCTGTGCGAGAGCACGAGTCGGTTCTTCTCCTCGTCAACCTCGATAAACTTGAAAGGAAGCTGTTGTCCAACCAACTCCTCACGGTTGAGGGTGCGAATGCCGATGTGGCTTTGCGGCACGAAACCGCGAAGCTTTTCAACTTCGACGAGCAAACCGCCGCGGTTGACGCTCAAGACTTCACCCGTGAGCGCGGCATCCTCCGCTTGCGCTTCGCGGCAGCGGTCCCACGCCTTGGCGAGCTCCATTCTGCGCACGGAGAGCGTCAAGCATCCCTCCCCGTTGTCGTCTTGGATGACTTCAAAGTCGTATTCAGAATCGACGTCGAACACGGACGCAGCCTGCGTTGGAGCGGAAACAAAAAGCATTCGGTCAGTATCTCATCCCCTCGTCTCCGTCAGGCGTCCGTTCGCGCCGAGTCGCAATTTCCACACCCTCCGAGGGCGTCGCCTCGCGAGAGCCAAAGCCCTAGGTTTTATCTGCCCAGTCGCGAAGGATTCGCCCTCGAGCGCGGCGACGCCGTCGTGGCGGCGTCGCGTCCGTCGCCGATGTGTACCGCGAACGCAAAATTTAACGTACGTTACGAATGCTGCCGAGCGACGCCTCGGACGTCGGGCAGAGCGCCTCGGACTTTGCGCCAATTTCGACCCACGCCCCTTTCGCATCGCACGCCTTGACTCGGCCGGTGATGACGTCGCCAACCTTGTAGTTGTACTGGTACTTGTCGAGAAGGCTCGCGAATTCATCGTACTCCGCGCTGGATTTACCGCCCACGATCGTCTCATCGCTCACGATCGCCCCGCGTCGGAGCGTCACCGAGCGCGTCGCGGGCTTGCCCCCGCGTAAAGCCTTCGTGGCGCGCAGTCGAAGACCGCGCACGGACGCCGCGGCGTTCGTCGAGACGGACAGCATCGTGCGTTTCGCGCGCGTTCGTCGTGCGCTCGGGGTCGCGGACGCGCGCGGCGACGAGTGCGGACGCGTCGCGCGCCGCACCGCGCGCGCCTCCACCGTCGCCGCCTCGGCGGCTCCGCCTGACGTCGATCGTGCGTGGACTCCTTCTTGAGTCATGACTCACGACGACGCACGCAGGGGCACACCCGGGGCGCGCCCCAGACCCCACGTCGCCCACCGACGATCGGTGTCGAGCGACCATCGGTGTCGAGCGAGCGACCGATCGATCGATCGACCATTCGACCGATCGACCGATCGACCGATCGACCGATCGATCGACCGATCGACCATCGGTCTCGACCGAGGACCACGCGCGAGGTCACCGCGCGAGGTGGACGTCGACGCGCGATCGATCATGTCGACCGCCGCGGCGAGAGCGCTCGCGGCGGCGGTGGACGCCGAGAGGCGAGGTACGACGCGCGCGCGCGATCGCTCGCGCGCGGAGACGGGTTCGGGGGCGAGGGGCGAGGGGGCGAGGGGCGATTCGAGCGCTCGGTCGCGCGAATGATGGCGCGCGGATGACGACGGCGACGGGGCGATTCGACGCCGTGCGCGCGCACGGGCGATGGCGGACGATCGATCGCGTGGTCGAGCGCGATGGAGTCGGCGAGAGCGAGGAGACTGACGACGCGTCGACGCGCGAGGGACTCGTAGCGACGAGCGCGGCGAAGGGACGCGCGCTCGCGAGGATGGAGGAAACGATAGACGTCGAACGCGTGGAAGACGGCGAGGCATCGAGCGCGATGGAGGTACGGAAAACGATTGTTGCGATGCGACGTGAGGCGACGCGACGCGATGTGGGCGTGATTCGGGTGCGTTCATCGAGGGGGAAGACTGAACGCCCGACGTCTCGAGCGCAGGTGTCGCCGATTACGGTGTACGAGACTAAATACGCCGAGGCACAGACGAGAATGATCGCCGTCAACGACTCTTTCATATGTTACGGGATTCGAAACGGGCTGATTCGCGTCTTTTCGCGAAAGACATCGAATGTTCGCTCGCTTTTGCGCGGCCACTCCGACTCGATCTCGACGCTCAAGTTTTTGGCCAACACGGATGTGTTGCTCTCGGTGGATTTTCGTGGACGAGTGATGGTACGGAAACTGTCTTTGTTGGAGAGCGACATGAATTCGTTGGAGGATGATGGCGCAAACGGGACCATTACGGCGCAAACACTCGTGGATTTTGATTTTCAGGTCGACACGCCCGAGGGTCACTGGCCTCCGTCCGTGTGCTGGATGCCGCTTGACTCGAGAAAGCCTGGACGATGTGAATTCGCTCTCAGCGCGGGCACGTGCGTGGTGTGCTACGAATTTTCTCTCATGATGAAGGGTGATGCTCCAGCGCTGGAAATCGATCTAAACGCACCGCCCGCTATGAGTGGTTTACAGGTAATAGAGTTTGACGCGCCTGTATCGTGCGTTGACAGCGCACCCGTTGGGCGCAAAATTGTCGCCGCTAGTGAGGGTCGAGCGTATGTGTTGGTCAAAGCGGACGGCGAGACGGAATTTGAGTGCACAGATACGCTCCCTTGGACCGTAGAAACCGCCGTGTTCGCGTCTGCTGATCGAGTGATTCTTGGAAATGAAAACAACTCCGAGTTGATTGTTGTCGACGTGACTCAGGAGACGCCGTTTGCGGTCCAACGCGTCGTATTCAAGTCCGATAACGACAAGCTGTTTAACGTGGGATTACAGCACAACCCGGAAACTGGCATTGTTCTCCTGTCGAACACGCGAATGAACGCTGTGTACGCGTTGCACTTCGACAAAAGCTTTGATTACATTGCGCGCTTCGAGGCGTCGCAACCGATTTTGAGCTTTGACGCAAATGTCATTCACGAAGAGGACGGTGGCGCCAAGATGCAGCTGTTTTGCATGCAAACTCAGGCGATTCAAACCTTGTCAATGGCCGTCGAGGCGTGTGTACCTCCCGAAGGTGCTCTCGCTGCGGTCGGTTCTCCTGGTACTCCAAAGAGAACGCTCGAGCACTCGTCATCAGCTACATTACTCACGCCTGACATGTTTGGTGGAGCTGAACTTGCTGGTGACGAGGAAGATGAGGAACCCAATGTCAGCTTGGAGAAACGAATCTTATCCGCTCCTGCCATGGCTGAGCGAGTAGATGAGTCTGAGAACGACGAGGACGACGGGGAAGAGTTCGAGTCTGCGGAAATGAGTGAGAGCATGGAAGCGGCGATGGTGTCAAGAGTGCCCGTTGATATGAAGCAGATTCGGGCCATCATTCGCGACGAAATGCGCGATATTCTCGACGAATTACGCGCGGAACGACGCAAAGCGGCCGAAGAGCGCGCTACGGATATGGAACGTGCACGCAAGGCGAGCGAAGCCGCCGCCGCAAACTTGAAGCGCGACATCACGAGCGCCATCGCAACTCTGATGCAGCAACACTCAGTAGAGAACGCGAAGACTCTCGAGGCCGGTGTAGGTCGAGCTCAGTCCGTGGCCGCAACGAGTGCGCAGACAGCGTTGAAGTCCATCGTCGGTCCTTCCATTGATGGCGCCGTTCGAGCTCATATGGAAACTTCTGTCGTGCCAAAGATGGAAATGGCGTGTGCCACTATGTTTTCTCAGGTGAAGCAAACTTTCGAGCGCGGCATGCTCGATTTGAATACTGAGCTTCTAGCCGCTCGTGAGTCCGCGGCGATCGCGCAAGTGACTCCTTTCGTCTCTGGTCTTCGTCAAGCGACGACTGAGATCCGGCAAGCGGCGACGGCATTGATGACTGATGTCCCCAACCAAGTGGCGCAAGCGATGTCAAAGATTACTCCGATCGCGCCGCCACCGGGTATGTCACCAAAGAGTGTTCAAGGGAAGACGCTTGCGCAGATCGAGCAGCGTCTGGATCCGACGGCGGAGATTGGAAAGTTGCTTCAGGCAAACCAAATTGATCGCGCCTTCAACGTCGCGCTCAGCATGAGCAAGGTGGAAGTTGTGATGTGGCTCATCACTCAGGTTGCCAGTGACCGTATTTTCGGTCAAAACCCGTGTCCGTTGTCTCAAGGCGTGCTTTTGTCGTTAGTGCAGCAGCTCTCGAGCGATTTGGCTACACCAGACGCGCGTACAAAACTTGACTGGATTCGGGATTCCTGTCTCGCAATCGATCCGGCTGATCCGTCTCTGCGCCAGCACATGCGTCCAGTGTTGAGTGGCGTGCATCAGGCCCTTATGGCGGCATCTAACTCGCCCGCGAGCGCTCCCGATGTTCGTGCTGGAACTCGGCTGTGCATCCATGTCGTTAATTCGATGTTGTCATCGTTGTAGGCTCAAGTTGTTGTTAATATCAGACGAGCAGTCTCCACGTGAACATGTGTACGCGCTGAGACACTCGCCTTCGCGCGTTCGCTTCGCGTCCCTCAACTCAAACGCGAACACTTACCTTCTCCTCTTACTTTTTACTCCACGTGACTCGTATCATGCCGCCGCGTGACATCTTCATGGGGATGCTTCCGCCGAAAGCTCCTCTAGCTGGTATGCTTCCTCAGAGTGCCACAGCGAAGCTCCTCCCCAAAGTGGTCGTCCCTCCCGCTGAGTCCCCTGCGTCGTCGGTGTGGGCACTTCTCGACAATGCATGCGAAAAGTCGGCGGACGCGCGGGCATCGATCGCCGTCGTCGACGTCGAGGTCGAGCACGATGGCTCTCTTTCCTCTGTTGAGTACTCTCTCAGGGCGCTGCGCCTCGAGGCGAGAACGCTTGCGCACTCCCTCATGCACGATCACGCCATCTCGGCAGGCGACGCGGTGGCAATTTTACTGGACAATTCTGCAGCTTCTATCGTCGCTAGTTTCGCCATCGCTGGTCTGGGCGCGAAGAGAGTCGACTTGAACACTCGTGTTGAGGCGCACGAGGTCGCGGCTGCAATGCGAACAACAGACGCGCGGCTCATCATCGCGAGCGATCGATACGTGAACAAGCTCTCTCGCGCGCTGCAGATACTGCTTGATGAAACAGTCGACCTTGACGACGTCGACTCGAGAATTTCCGTGTGTTTTGCCGCTCGTCCACGGGCGTCGACGGAGGCTGAACTGGCGCTTCCCCGATTCAATGACGACGTAGCAGAGTTAATGCGTGGCGTCAAGATGACGCGTCTGAGCTTTGACCTGGCCTCGGTAAATAGACCGGGCGTGGACTATATTCCAGGCGGCGGTACCGATGCGTATGATGCTTTCATCTCTGAATCGGATGAACCGTGCCTGAGCCTCCTCGACCAAGTTGCGCGCGGAGACGCGCTCCGATGGCGTCCACATCTCGACGAAAAATCGCTGCTCGATTGCGAGTACCAGGTTATGTTCACGAGTGGAACGACAACTGGAAAACCAAAAATCGTATCCCATACGCAAAGGCAAGTCTCCATGCACGCAGTGTCGGTTGCTAAAACTTGTGGTTGGGAGCGACAGCTCCATGTGTGGTTGCACGTAGCGCCCATGTTTCATGCTATGGATGCCTTCGCGATGTATGCAAGCGTATTCGCTGGAGTGAAACAAATCACGATATCGCACGATTTCGACGTCAACGCAACTCTAAGTTTGATCAAATCCGAGAATGTGACGCTCACGGCTCTCACGCCGACACACCTCGCGATGATGCTCAGACAACCATCGTTCAAGCACGCCGCATCATCTTTGCGTGCGATCTCCGTGGGGGGGTCGATAGTTTCGGATCAACTCGTGCAATCATTCCAAGACGCTTGTCCAAGTTGCGTTTACTTTACAGACTACGGATCGACGGAGGCGTGTGGAAAAATCTGTACCTCACTTGGAGCTTCATGTTCTGCCGCCGCGCTCGCGCGTGCTGGAAACCCGATGCCTTTATTCGATGTCACTGTGGTCAAAGACACGACGAGTATGCAATCCATTGAGTGGAACGATCACGATCGCGGAGAAATACTCGTTCGAGGGCCGACAGTGGGTGACGGAACGTGGCTTGCGTTGGGCGATGTTGCCACTGTGGATTCGACAGGCTCAGTGAAGATTGTCGACCGCGTGTCAGACGTCATCATCGTTGGAGGCGAGAACGTTTTTTCGAGCGAAGTTGAAACCATCCTTCTGGAGTTGGCTGCCATCGCGGAGTGCGCCGCATTTGGAATATCGGATGAAATTTTGGGTGAAGTTGTGTGCTGCGCAATCGTGTATGATCCGACAAATAAAATATCCGTGAGCTTGGACGAAGTCAGGAAGCACTGCATCGAGCGTTTGAGCGATTTCAAACGCCCACAGAGCTTCGTCGTGGTCAAATCATTACCGAAGAACTCAGCGGGTAAAGTGCTCAAGAGGGAGTTGCGGATGCAACACCAAACTTCAGATGCGACTACAACTGAAACTGGCGCAAAGAAGTCTACAACTGACGCAGAGCTTCTGAGAATTGTACGAGAAGAGTTCGCACACGCCATAGATCGGGATGAAACGCTTGAAACACTCGATGGCAACACTAATTTTATGTCAGTTGGCGTTAGTTCAACACAAGCGGTGGCTTTTGCCCGAGCACTTGCACAGAGGCTCTCTCTTTCGTTGCCGTCAACGCTTCTGTTTGACCATCCCAATTTGAACAGTGTCGTTACACACGTGGCGAGTTTGTGCACGCCCAAATCTGTGAAGGTCCAACGCGTACACCATCCGCCAGGACCGACTATTGTCAACGTTAACATCATCGATACAACCACTACCTGTCCGTGCACAGACTCTGATTCGAGTGCGATCCCACTGAGTCGCTTTGACGTGGAACTTCATTTCGCGTGTGAGGCTGATCTGTCGAGTTCTTTTATCGGCGCGGGAAGCGTTCGATTCGCATCAACTCTTGATGATATTATTGCCGAAGAAGACATCGTAGCTTGCAATCTGTCGCCGATGGAGGCCAGTTACGTTGATCCACAACATCGACTGTTGCTTCGCCAAACGCTGTCGGCACTTTATTTCGTCAGAAGTTACACTGCGCCGCAACCAATCGCTATGAGCGTCGGCACCTTCATCGGCTGTATGTGGAATGAGGACTACGTGAATTTAGTCTCTACGTTTCCATGCGTCATGCGTTCTCCGAGTTCCGTTTTAGGAACTGCTTCTGGGTTGTCATTCTTGACGGGTCGCATCGCGTTTGCTGCCAACCTGTCTGGCCCAGCGATTGGAGTAGACACCGCCTGCTCATCATCTTTAGTTGCTTGTGCTCTTGGATTAGGATCGATTCTTAGATTGGAATGCAATGCTGCGACGTGCGGAGGTACTAACCTTCTCCTTTCATCGATGACGCATTCAAAAGTTTGTCGCATGGGTGCTTTGGCCGTTGATGGTCGATGCAAGACCTTGGATGCGTCGGCGGATGGATACGGTCGAGGTGAGGGCGTTTCATCATGCCTCTTATCATCTGCGTGTGAGAATTACGCTCAAGCGACGCTGATTCATGTTGGTGTGAATCAAGACGCACAATCCTCGAGCTTGCTGGCGCCACGAGGCGCAGCTCAGGCACACGTCATATCCGAGACGTGTTCGCGGTGCGCAGGACAGCTCATCACTTACGAACTTCACGGTACAGGAACGCAACTAGGCGACCCTATCGAAATCGGAGCCCTGGGCGAGGCGTTCCTGTCGACGAAGATCGATCCAGGCGAGGTGTCGATCACAAGCGCCAAAAGCTCATTTAACCATCAGGAAGGGAACGCGGGCGCAGCTGGTCTCCTCCGAGTAGTCCAAAGTGCCGTCAAACATTGCACAGAGCCAATCCGCCATTTGACGTCGATGAATTCGTACGTGTTAGATGTGCTCAGTAATCACATGGCGCACGACTTATCATTTGCTCGATTACCTCACGCAACGATCCAAAGAGCCGCCTCGTGCGCAAACTTTGGCATATCTGCCTTTGGCCTTTCCGGAACCAACGCTAGTGCTGCGTTAAAAAATCGAGTGTTTGGCGCTGACTCGAAATCTGACAATCGAACAGCTCTTCTTGACAGAACCACTTGGTGCTCAATTGTCCCACCACCAAGTGTTTTCCGACAGGTCTCATCGATCACGAGCACGAAGGTTCAGTTTAACGCGACATTGCGAACGGATGGACATGCCTTTCCCGCAATCTGTATCCAGATGTTCGGAGAGTCAACATGCGTGTTATCGTCGTCGCGGAAAGCACCGGCATTTTTAACCAAGCTCTCACTACGCCCACTGTCACACGTACTTCAAAACTATGGGATGATGTCGTGCTACGTGACGGCAAACTTGCAGACTGGTTCTATGATGATCACTCACGGCGCTGAAACGCTCACTTCGTGTCACATCGTGGACGGATGGAATTGCAAGCATACATCAAACGTGCTTCTACGCGCGCCATACGCCAAGGATGACAAGCAAGCTGCGACCGTTTTAGCTTTAATTGAACGTCGAAACTTCCGCGCCGAAGATCACGACTTTGACTCTGCGTGCATCAACGCAGTACATCAGCTCGACTGTGTCCAAGGGAAAGCCACGGTTTTGGTTTCGGTTGCAGCATTTTCAGTGAGATATCATCAACACATGTTGTCGATGACTGGATTCTTGACGCTTCCAGGAGCGCGGGCGAGTCTAGGTGGAATATTACAGTTTGAAGGCCTCACCTTCAAGTCATACAAGTCCTTGGTCGTTTATCCTTTGAACTGGAAGAGATTTAGCGCGCACCACCCACATTTCAGACTTTTCACAGATTTTACGAAACCGAGTGCTGACAAACCCAGTCACGTAGTCTCTGTCTCAATAAATGGTGAGGAAGTCCGCCGTCGAGTAGAGCGAGCGGTCGAGCACACGATTGGGCGGCCATTGAGCGTAGACGAACGGTTCGTTACTTCGGGCATGGACTCTTTCACTGCGAATGAGCTCAAAAGCGAGCTCGACTCGGTGTTTGGATTCGCTTTCCCGGCAGCCGTTTCGTATGATTTTCCCTCTATCCAGACTTTGACTGCTTACATCGAGGCGAGGTTACGCTCGGGGACTACTACATCTTCTACTTCCATCACCGAAGCTCGCGTGCTCGCTACCGATGACTACGCGTTCCTGATTGTCGGTGAGCACACTCGGACCGCCGGATCAGGGTTCTACATGGATGCCGTGTCGATGCCCTCGTACTGGCGATGGGATGCTGACTACTGGATGGACGTTCGCAATACAGCGCTTCCTCGTTCTGGTGGTTTCATGGAGCAGCTCATTGCATTTGACAACGAACTTTTCGGTATCCCAAGCGTCGAATCACTCCTTCTTGATCCACAGCAGCGGACGTTGCTCGAATGTACGTTCACTCTCGAACATCTGAGTCGTAACGTGGTTGAACAGTCTGACAAACTCAACGTTTTCGTTGGGATTACAACCTCAAATTACAAGCCTGACGTAATCAGTCGGTACTGGGGCTCGTTCCATTCAACCATGGGTACTGGAAATTTTCCAAGCGTCGCCGCGGGTCGAATTTCCTTCACGTTCGGGTTCGCCGGACGATCGATAAGCGTGGACACAGCGTGTAGTTCGTCGCTTGTCGCTTGTTCACTCGCTTTTGAGTGCTGGAATCAACAACCGGTCAATTCGTTCTCGCTGGTGTGCGGTTCGATGATCATCGTGTCGCCCGCGGTCGTCATCGATCGCTTCGTGTCGAACATGCTCTCCATGGATTGTCGTTGCAAAACTTTCTCCGCGGACGCCGATGGCTTTGTGCCAGGTGAAGCTACTTGTGCTGTGGCTCTGAAGAGCGTTAAGACGACCGGAAAGAAGCGTGTTTGTGGCGTCCAAATCGCAGGAACAGCGGTTAATCAAGATGGCCGGTCTGCATCGCTTACTGCTCCAAACGGTCCATCGCAACAAGCTCTGCAACAAGCGGCGATGATCATCGCGCGACTTCGAGGAAGCGACGCCGATGGACTGCATATGCACGGCACGGGGACACCTCTAGGAGATCCAATAGAGCTCGGCGCCGCAAGTATGACTTTTGCCGAAAGTAACCTCTCAATTGAGGCTTCTAAAAGTTCGATAGGACATACGGAAACGGCTGCGGGTATCGTCGCTCTTGCTCGCACATACGCCACCTCGATGCTTTCAGCGTCGTTACCGCAGGTGCACCACTTACGAGGAATCAATCCGCATTGCGCGTTGACCATAGACGAATCGAAGTGCAAGTTCCATATCCCACGCGAAAAATCGTGTACACGTTCAAATCATGTGCGAAACGTGGGTGTGACGGCGTTTGCTTTTCAAGGTACAAATGCGTTTGCGGTTGTGCGGTCGGTGTTTGGCGAATACAAATCATCGCAAGTTTTCGTCTTCGAACACGTGGATTTCTGGCCACTTCCAGAGTTACATCCTCAACTTCTTGCTCATTACAAAGAAGGAGACGTCGCACGTTTCTTCGCACGTATAGATCCCCGACCACACGCTCATTTGCTCGATCACATTGTCGCCGGACGTGCGTTATATCCAGGAACGGGTTTTCAGGAAATATGCGCCGCGGCAGCCCGCAATCTCTCACTTGCTCCCGCCTTGGTACGAGAATCAACGATCGATGCACCTTTAGTGGTGGGCACGCAGGAGACGACGACTTTTCGGACGACGATTCAGTGTCGCACAGGTGTCACGCGCGTCACATCGTCTTCGGATTCGACCTATATGCGATGCATTACTCAGCGTGATCATGCCGCACTGACATATTTGAGAGCTCCCGAACGTCATGGCGGCTTCAGGCAGAGCATGAACGACATTTCAATGGCATGTGCATTCATTCCTGCGCGCGGCGCACACGTCGGCTATGGAGTACATCCAGCCGCATTGGATTCTGCGCTACAACTTGGAGCGGCTGTGAATACCTCGAGTAATAAGCTCAAAGTTCCGGTCGGCGCGTGGGCGTACAAATCGTCGAAGTGCTCCTCAACATTGATGTTTGCGTCGGTTTGTGGGCTTAACCACTCCCTCAGCGGTGCGAGTGTCGTCGGTTTACGACTGAAGGAGATGCGTCGCATTAGTACTGTGAAAACTGAGCGCTCGAGTGATGCCGTTTTGAAACACGTGTACGAATCGCTATGGTTCGTCACAAAAACTGCACGAAGACGTACATTTGTTTCGAAAAGCAGGCACATACATAATCATTCACGACCGCACGACGCAGTGTGCACAGCGACACAAAGTCTGCAGAACAGCATGTTCAGTTCCTCGCTCGCATTCGAGGCCACACGTGATCGCACAGTCGAGGCCACGCGGGCAGCGTTCGGCACAGCGGCGCAAGAGAATCGTGCCATTAAGTTTGATTCATCGTGTCACCTACCCATGGACTCTACTTTTATAGAACGAGCTCTCGATTGCACGGATCGCGCGGAAGGTGCGTGCAAAGAGTGCGTTGTCGAGTCCCTCGCGATGTACGAGGCGCGTCTTCGTCACATTAGAGCAACCGAATCGGGTCGAATCAGAAACGAGCATACTCGATCGAAATTCCTTTGCCACGGCAGAGTTACTGGCTCAATTGACAACTTTCTGTTCATCACTGGTGGGCTGGGGGCCATTGGAATGGTCACTGCCCGCGCGTTCGAACGCAAGGAGTGGAAATTAGCACTTCTGTCACGCAGTGGCAGATGTCGACTTTTCGGCGAACGAACGGGAAAACTGGTTGTATCTATAAAGTGCGATGTGTCTTGCGCCGAGAGTAGAGCCACGAATTCCTTACGAACTCGGTACTTCTTCGATAATACGTTGGAACACATGTTTCACGCCGCCGGGGCTCTTGCCGATGCTTTGGTCAGCAAACAAACGGCTGGCTCCATCTTTATCACCACAGGGGCAAAAAAACTCGCTCAAAGCGTTCGCATGATCGACGCGACGCGTTTGCTCCTGTTTTGCTCGTCTCTTGCCGCATTGACGGGAAATCCCGGGCAGATGAACTACTCGGCTGCGAATGCCATGCTCGATGCCGACGCCAGAGACTCGCGTCGATCCGGTATGCCGAAAGTAAGTATCCAATGGGGTGGATGGGCAGAGGTGGGCATGGCGGCGCGCGACCCCTCGATAGTGCAGCGCCTCGAGCGCATTGGCGCCGCAGCTCTGGATCCGAGAAGCGGTGTCGAAATTATCGCGAGCATGTTTCGAGCTGACTTGCTGTGCGATTGGTCAGTCAGCCGATTCGATTGGACTCGTATCGCGAAGACGCTTCCGGCGTTCGGTGTGTTCAGAGATATGGTTGGTGCAAACGCGCCTTCACTACACACAGTTGGTGGCGTTAAAACAGATGGTTCAGAATCAAGAAGCATGAGCACGCAAGACGTTGAATCCAAAATCTCGACAGTTGTGCGCACGCTCACAGGTGAACACGTCTCTGCAGAAACTCCCCTCATGGAGGCTGGTCTCGACTCGCAAGCGGCGGGAGAGCTGGTGAACGCGTTGGAGATTGAGTTCCCAGGTACGGAAGTGCCCGCGACTGTCGTCTTCGATTATCCAACAGTCTCGGCACTCGCATCTTACATAGCGGACGTTTCCGGCGTGAGCGATGCGCGAGCGTTGATGAAACTCGATGATGGCACGACGACACGCCATTCTGATGTTGTCGCGAATATATCGAGTGCCGACTTGCTCTTACCATCCAATAGCGGTGATGCGATCACTTGCGTACCTTACATGCGATGGGATAATACGTGGTTTAGGGAGAGAGAAAAGTCGCTACTGCCATCCTTCAGTGGGTTTTTGATCAATTATGAGCTTTTCGACTCAAATATGTTTGGTATTTCGAGCAGCGAGGCATTCTTGATGGATGTTCAACAAAGATCGATTCTTGAGGGGGTCGTTGCGACGAGGATCGCTCGGAATGTGATGGTTGACGATGCCCTCGATGATAACGCCACCGGCGTGTACTGCGCTATATCGTCGATGCAGTATCACGTCGAGATCGTGAACTATTACCTTCCGAATAATGCGTCCCCGTTCGTCGCGACTGGTAACACACTGAGCGTTGCCGCGGGCAGAGTATCTTTCTTATTTTGTTTGCGAGGTCCATGTTTCTCTTTAGACACTGCCTGCTCGTCAAGCATCGTCGCCACACATCTCACGATGGAAGGTTTACGACAAGGAGATTGTTCTTCGGCTCACATATGCGGAGTGATCACAATCTTAGGTCCAGCCGTCACGGCCATCTTCAACGCATCTGGGATGCTTGCCCCGGACGGTAGATGCAAAACCTGCGATGTAGCGGCGAATGGATACGTGAGAGGTGAAGCGAGAGGTGTGTTTTTGGTCGACGCCTTTGACATTGACTCCATGAATCAGTCTGGCGTTGCAATCATCGGAAGTGCGATCAATCAAGACGGTCGATCAAGCTCACTCACCGCTCCAAATGGCCCATCACAGCAGGCCGTGATGAAGGCAGCGCTGTGTAACTCTGAAATCACTGGAAGAGACCTGCAGAAACTGCAACTACACGGAACAGGTACCCCTCTCGGCGATCCGATCGAAGTCGGCGCCACTGTTGCGGTCTTACAGCGCCCTCAAGGAGATCCTCTATCGTTAGAAGCGATAAAATCGCACGTCTGTCACACCGAGACGGCAAGTGGAATGGTCGCACTCATGCAGCCGCTGGTTTCGCTTGTCCAGAGCACAGTGGAACAAGTCTTACATCTACGATGGGTCAATCCACATGTCGAGTCAATCGTAGGCAGAAACGCAACCCACGTCAGCTTGCCAAGACAAAACTTGGCTCGAAACACGAAGATGTGCGGTATTAGTTCTTTCGCCTTCCAGGGTACAAATGCAAACTCAATTCAACGCGTAGTAATACGGCAAAGTGAGATGAGACATCCGGTGACTTCATTGGTGTTCACAAAAGATAGGTTCTACCCTTGTCCGTTGCTTCATCCGCATTTGAACTCATTTTCGAGAACTTTCAAGCGAGGCGATGCGCTGCGGTTTGTTGCCGTAGTTGACGTGAAATCACACTCCCATCTGCTTGACCACCGCGTACTCGATAGGGCTCTCTATCCCGGCGCGGCCTTCCAAGAACTTGCCTCTGGAGCTGTACGAATGTTCGACGCAAGGAATGTCTTGATTACGAATTCAAGTGTCCCGGCGCCGCTATACCTGTCAGCAACCAGGAGCACGATGTTTGAAGTCGAGTTACGCGCGCCAAGCGGACAATTGAACGTTTTTAGCGGGGTCGTGACGTTCATGCGCGCACGAGCGAGCACACAAGTGCAAACATGCGTGAAAGACTCAATTCTATTACGCTCCACATGCAAAAGAGTCGTGTCGAAGACAACGACCGATCCAGGGCGAGCGTTCGGGAGAGTGAGATCGTCATGGGCGGAGTGGCACGACGATTACTTTGTCGATCCATCATGCTTGGACAATGCGCTTCACCTCGGCGCGGTTATGAACGCCGGCTCTCGTGAAGTAAAGGTCCCGGTCGGCGTGCGAGCGTACGCTGCGCAAATCATACCTTCTGAACAGCGTATACTTCGAGCCAGTGCGTGCAATGAGCGCTCAAACTACTCACTTGAGCGCGCACACGTTGTCGGCCTTGAAGTAAGATCCATGCGGCGCGCTCACGCGCCGGTGACAAACCACAAAAAGATGACATACTCTCTTAACTGGTTCGCTTCACACCCTTGCGTGTCGGAAAGTGTCACAAAACCTGGTCACTCACCAACGTCGCTGGAATCATCAGTGAGTGAGGAAGTTTCGACTGCGATGTGCGCTGCCCAACAAATCAACTCGACGACTGTTTCCGGAGTCAAAGTTTCCACCACGCGCGAAGAAAATAACGACGCCGTGCACGGACTCTTGAGGACATTCGGACAAGAGGCGAGACACATACGTGCGGAAGGTGTTCGGTTTGATAGCTCGCGAACGCATCACGTAGCTGCGGACACAACTGTGGAGTTTGCCGGCGAATCTCATGAACTCGTGGTCACCGCTAACTACGTCTACGAATCTCGCATCGGTAACACGCGATGCAAGGCGCCGGTATTGCGCTCACAACGAGTCGAGAACGCTTTGGCTGGTTCCCCCTTTCTGGTAAAGAGGGTTCTGATCACAGGCGGTCTTGGTGCGATCGGGTACGATTACGCCAAGTGTCGAAATGCGTCCAGTGTATTCGATGCGAGAATCCTTCTAACTAGTCGCAGTGGGCGCAGTAGTCAGTTAGACGCGACACCATTCACGTCTTTACGCGCCATCAACTGTGACGCCAGGTTTCGTGAGGATGCCCATCCGTTGGCGCCTTGCGAACTAGATGAAATTTTGCACACCGCCGGGGTTTTGTACGACATGTCCATACGAAGACAAACCGCCTCATCGGTGCGACTCGTCGTCGGTGCCAAGGTCAACACGTGGCTGAACATCAAACAGCGCATAAGTGACTCACCAACGCAGAGGACCGTGTACTGTTCGTCGATTGCCGCGCTCTCTGGGTCGAGTGGACAATCCAATTATGCCGCCGCGAACGCGTGGCTCGACTCCATCGCCATTTTCAGTCGACTTCGGGGTGAATCCTCAAGCTCCATTCAGTGGGGAGCTTGGTCTAATACTGGAATGGCCGACGCGAAAGTTCTAGCGAAAGTCGATTCCATGGGCTTGGGAATCGTCACCCCCGAGCTCGGCATGAAAACGATTGAACAGGTTATGTCTCAGCACGCAATTTTGAACGTCGTCGCGACACCGTACGACTTCGACAAGTTTGTCGATGCCGTGCCAGTCATTCCGAGGATCTTCCGCGACGTCGCCGTGAAGAAGCGTAGGAGCGCTGCGAAGAAAACCTCCAAAAAGTTCGGCAAGGTCACGGTTCGATCAGCGTCGGAAATCACGATGAAAATACAGAGCATCGCGACGGATGTCATCGGTCGGGACATAAGTGCCGTCGAGCCACTCATGGATGCCGGACTTGATTCACTCAGCGGACAAGAGATGAAGCAGCAAATCGAGGATGAATATAACATCGAGCTCAGCCCAACCGCCGCGTTTGATTACCCGACAGTCAGCGCGCTAGCCAATTTCGTGGCCGGCGAGTTGGGAGGCGAACAGAAGGACGCATCGACGGAAGAAACCGGACCAAAAGTCTCCATTGCCGATGTTCAGGCACGAGTTCTAAGAATAACGAGCGGCGTCATAGGCAGAGATGTCGATCCACGTGAACCGCTCATGGATGCCGGACTTGATTCACTTTCTGGACAAGAGATGAAACAGCAGATTGAGGATGAATTCGATGTTGAGCTCAGCGCCACCGCCGCGTTTGATTACCCGACGGTGCACGATTTAGCGAACTTTGTCGCCGACGAGATCGGAGCGACGGCAATTACGACGACTCTTGCGCCCTCGTCACGAGCTTTCATTGAACAGACTCAGGGGCTCGCCGTCGTGAGAGGACTCGACATTGTCGCGCCGAGCCCACCCGAGGCTGATGCCGTCCGACGCATCCCTTACCAACGTTGGGATCATAATCGCTACCAAGAAGTCGTTCAAAAATGGCACGGAGAGTTCCTCACGATGAGCGGCTACAACCTCCACGTCTGTGGATTCTCGGGGATGATGGATCGTTACTATCGATTTGATTCCTCCCTCTTCGGTATATCCGCACTAGAGGCGGGATATATGGACGTTCAGCAAAGATCTCTTTTAGAGGGTACGGTGAAAGCCACCTCGGCGATTATCCGCACATCCGTAGAAGATACGCTTGATGGATCAGTGTCAACGGGTGTCTACGTCGGCATTGCTTCGTGTGATTACGCAGACGAAGTGATACGAAGGTATAAGCCCAGTCTGCATCCATACCTGGTCACTGGAACTTCTCTGAACGTCGCTTCAGGGAGGATTTCATTCGTTTATAATTTCCGCGGGCCGTCCATTTCTATCGATACAGCGTGCTCGAGCTCTATCGTGACGACTCACGTCGCTTTCAAAGGAATGCGCGCGAGAGAGATCAATCGCACATTATCGTGCGGCGTTCAAGTGATCCTGAGTGAACACCTCGTCGGTGTGTTCCATTCTTCCGGAATGCTCGCCGCTGATGGTAGATGTAAGACTTTAGACGTAAATGCGGATGGATACGTGCGCGCAGAGGCGCGTGGTGTGCTCTTACTCGAGATGAAAGATGGTGAAAAATCGGCGAGCGTCGTCATCGCGGGTACGGCGGTGAATCAAGATGGCCGTTCCTCCTCGCTCACTGCTCCTAACGGGCCTTCGCAAAAAACAGTGATTCGGACCGCTCTCACCGTTTCCGATGCGCAGGGGAGAGATGTTGACGCGTTGCAGATGCACGGTACGGGGACATCTCTCGGTGATCCAATCGAAGTCGGCGCCGCTTTCGACGTCCTAGCACGCGCAGATAGTGACCGTCCACCGACGTTCGAGTCAATAAAAAGCCACCTCGGGCACTCAGAAACAGCCGCGGGCATCGTATCAATCATCCAAGAGACGAATAAGTTGGTGCAGTCGTCTTCATCATTGATTTTCCACATGAGACTGTTGAACCCGCATTTGCAAGGATTATTTTCATCATCCGTGAAATCAACGACGACGAGAATTCGAGTGCCGAGAGGGTGCGCCGCGCGCCGTGCGTCACTCGCGAGCGTCTCTGGATTCGCATTCCAGGGTACGAATGGAAACGTCGTGCTGAGGAGATCGCGCGAGAATTGCTCACGCGGATGTTCACAAGTTTCATTTTCTCGCGAACGTTTTTGGCCCCTGTCAGAGATGCATCCAAATATTGTCGAGTTCCAAGGTTCTCACGGCGCCATGTTACATTTTACCGCTTGCTTCGATCCGCGCTTACACACTTGCGCTCTAGAGTGTGAAACAAAGGCGAGAGAAGCGATCGTCTCCAGCGCCACGTGTCTAGAGCTCGCGTGGGGGACTTCGAGACTCTTCTCTCGCGATTCCGTGGCGTGCGAGAGTGCCGTTCTAGCACCGGTAGCGCTGCTCACTCAAACTGCGACGCATTTCGCCATCCTCATCGACAGTCGGTCAGGTGGAGTTCAAGTGAAGGACCGTTGTGAAGACCGGGAGGTAAAACTGATGTGCCGGCTTCATCGTCGACATTTCTCTCCCGCGCACTCCGACGCGCGTCAGTACTCGTGGGTTCCTTTACAACCGCGCGCTCGTGTGCACAACACGTCTCGAGCTCGCGTGCGAGAGATAGCAAAACAGAGCTATCTAGAGTATTTCATCGATCCCCAAAGCCTGGAAAGCGCCTTTTCCGTGCGAGCGGCGACGAGTGACGCCGGCGTGTTGAGAGCGTGCGCCAGATTTTGGTTCGAGCGACCCGTCGGCGAGGGAGACGTCGTCGTCGCGACGAGCGCTGATGATTTCAAAGTTGGACCTGTGCGCGCTACCGGTACCGTGTTTAAACACACGTTCGATAAAGTGTACCGAACGGCGTCGGTATCGATGAAAAGTGGTACGCGAGAGCCATCGCACGGGCAGCCGCCGCGCGCGCCGCCGCCGGAATCGCGAGAAACGATACGGCGCACGATTCGAGCGCACTGCGCCCGAATAATCGGTGTCGATACCATCTCGGGACACGAAACGCTCACAGATCTCGGCATGGACTCTCTCACCGCTTCGGAGCTGCGAGCGGCTATCCAAACCAACTTTGGTCTCGCGCTTCCCGTCGCCGCCGCGTACGAGTGTCCGACCGCCGACGCGCTCGCGGAATACGTCGCGCGCGCGTCGAAGAAACCCCGAGAACCCATCGGCATCGCGACGACACCGTCGTCCATCGATCGTTCTGTGCGCGCACGCGCGCGCGCGGTCGTCATCGCCATCCTCGCCGTCGTCGTCGCCGTCGCCGTCGTCGTCGCCGTCCGCCTCGCCTGGGCCATCCTCCAAAACCGCTGACGCGTCCCCGCGCGCGCCCTGGACGCGGCTGTGGGACACATCATCGAGTCATGACTCGTCGTCATGCCGACGCCGACCACCGTCGCGACGTCATCGCGCGACTCGACGACGTTCGACATGTTCGCCGCCGTCCCCGTCGCCAACCTGCGCGCGTTGAAGCCGAACGCGGTGCGTCGATGCGTTCGCGATGGACGCGCGCGCGTCGACCCCGCGCGCGCGGTCGAGGCGTCGACGAACGACGCCGTGTCCCGCTCGAGGGTTTCCGCGCCTCGCGGGATCGGTCGCGACCGACGCGCGCGCATCGGAGGGGCGCACGCGATCGTCCATCGACGCCGACGCGAGGTGGATTTTATCCCCGTCGTGCGCGCGCGCGCGGTCGGCGTGGACGCGGTCGCGCGCGCGACGACGGGCGGATGGATGCGGGCGGGCGTGGGGGGTGTAGGGTTTTCAGCGCGGAGACGTCTCCGCGCGCGACGACGCGAACGCGACGACTGACGAACGATGCGCGATGTTTTCGAAACGTAGCTCAACAACACCTCCGCCACGCTCCCGCGCTCGAGCGGACGCGTCGGATTGGTCGTCGAGGCGAACAAGCGCGCGAACAAGACCACGAAGGCGGTGCTCCTCAAGACGTCGGACGCCGGCAAGGAGGGCGACATGGTTGAGGTCTCCAACGGCTTCTTCCGCTCCTACCTCGAGCCGCAAGGTCTCGCGACCAAGGTGAGCGCGGAGTTGATGGCTGAATTCGAGAAGAAGGCTGCGGAAGCGGCCGCCGCCAAGGCGAAGGAGATCGCCGACGCCAAGGCGCTCTGCACGGCGCTCACCACCATCGGCAAGTTCACGGTGAAGAAGACTGTTGGGGAGGATGACAAGATCTTCGGCTCGGTCACCGCGGCTGATGTCGTCGAGGCAATCAAGGCTCAAACCGGCAAGGAGTTGGAGAAGTCTGCGTTCGCCGTCCCGGATGTCTCCACCACGGGCGTCTACGAGGTCGTCGCGCAGTTCCACAAGTCTGCCAGGTGCACGTTCAAGGTGGAGGTGCAAAAGGCTTAAGTAGGTGCGAACGTGATTCATATATTGATTGTTTACGCGCGAGTGCGCCGCGGAGGAGGACAGACTAGCTTCAATTCGTCGACGGGCGACGACTTAGGTGAGATTCACAAAGAGTTCGATTGTAAATTTGCTCAGCTCTCGATCGATCATTCCCCGTCGTTCTGCGCCGCCTCTCTGAGCCACTGACGCACGACGCGGTCGTCTCGATCCTCGGCGGCGATCTCGTACGGCTCCCCCGCGTAGACGAGGTCGTCGCCGTCGCGGATCTCGTACGCGTCGACGCCGTCCTCGGGTTCGGGCGTCGCGCGCGCGCGCGCGTTCATCTCGTCCACCCAACGAAACTGGATCGGCACCAAGGCCAAATCAACGAGCGCTTCGCCGAGTTCATACAAGGCATCGCGAAAAGACACCGCGCTGTACCTCGCCGGGGCGAGAATTTGTCGTAACGCGCGTCCCCGGCGCGGGTTTTCTTCAATCTCCCTCGCGCGCGCGCGAGACGCGAGTGACATCAGGACGCACGTCAGCACGAGTGCGAACGCGTGCACGCGCGCGCGTCGACGACGCATCGTCGTCCTAAACTCGCGCACTCCAACGCGTCGCGTCGACGTGTGCGCTTTCCGCGCGTTCGCGCGTCCGAGGCGCCCGGCTGGGTGCCAACAATGACGAAACCTCGCGAGAACGAACCCGCGCGCGTCGTCGACGCCGCGTCACACCCCCCCGCATCACCCCCGGCATCGCACGCGATGTTCGAACGCACGCGCGCGCACCGCGGCGGCACCGCGACGGGAGTCCGCCGACGCGCGTCCGTCCTCGCCGTCGTCTTCGCCGTCGCCGCCGCGCCCGCGGTTCGCGCGGCCCGGCCGACGCCCGCGTCCACCGACGTCGCCCCGCGCGCGCCGTGGTCCACCACCTACGTCTGGTCCACGCGCACGCCGGTGCCGTCGCCGCCAGCGCCGCGCGGGGTCGACGTCGTCGCCGCGCGCGGTCCGTCCGCCGCCGCCGCCGCGTTCGAGCCCGCCGCCGCCGCCGACGACGCCGTCGACGTCGACGACGCCGTCCGCGCGAGCGTCGTCGCCGACAGACTCGCCCGCGCCGTCGACGCCGCGACGGCGTTCCACGGCTACGCGTCCTCGAGCGCGTGGCTCGACGCGGTCGCCGTCGCGTTCGGCGTCGTCGATCCGAGCCTCCTCGCCTACGTCGCCGCGCGCGCGTCGAGGGACGATTCCATCGTGACATCACGCCTCGGATGACGTCGCGACGACGTCGAGGCGACCGTTCGCGTCGTGGGCGCCACCGCACGCGCGGTGCGTGTCGTCACGCGAGGTCCACGGACGACCGCGGCGTCGGCGGCGTCGCGCGGGGGAACGAGCCGTCGGCGACGCCGGCGTCGTGACATCGCGACGCCATGTCGCGCGCGCGCGCGCCCTTGTCCACGCTCGACGTCGGTGACGCGAACGTGCGCGCGCGCGATGCGGCGTCGACGTCCGTGGCGTCGTTCGCGTCGCCGAAATCAACCTTTTCTGTGGCGACGGAGCGAATGGATGATCAATTCGGAACGTCGGGACGGGAACCCCCCGAGCTCGCGGTCGTCGACGCCGGCCGGCGACGTGCGGCGAGCGCGTTGAATGTCGTGGTCGAGCTCGACGCCGCGCGCGAGCGAGAGCGCGAGATCGTGGCGTTCGCGAGGGAGAAGATGCACGAATTCGACGCCGCGTTGCTCGCGCGCGCGCGCGTCGAGGAGGATTTAATGTGCGCCTTGGGCGCGTCCGAGCGCGCGCGGGTGCGAATGCGATGGCGATTCGCGACGTGGGCCGTCGTGCGGGAGAATCGCGCGCGCGCGGCGGAGGCGCGGGCGAAGAGAACGCGCGCGCGCGCGATTCGGTTGGAGAATCAATTGCGAAAAGTCGAGCGATACGTCGAACTCGCGGCGAGAGATTTCGACGCGTTGCACCTCAAGCTCGAGCGCGAGGCGCGAGAGGCGAGAGAGGCGCGAGCGAGCGAGCGACGCGCGGTGGACGCGCTCGCGGCGGAGAGACGCTTGAGCGCGGCGGGGGAGACGTCCGAGCCGGCGCCGGCGACGCCGCCGTCCAGACGCGCGGCGAACGCGCGGCGCGCGGAAGCCAAGCGCGCGTGCGCGTCCGTCACCGAGCACATTCAAACCTTATTGGCGTCGTCACCGAGCGCGCAGTTGCGCGACATCTCCAGGGCGCGAGACGACGCCGCGCGACGCGCGCGAGAGACGCTGACTTCGCGCGCGTCCGACGGCGACCTCGATCCCGAGGACATCGTCGCCCTCATCAGCGTCCACGCCGTCCAGCGGTGCGCCGAACGTTCGACGAGCGACGGCGAACGGGCGTTCTATCGCGCCGCGAGACGGTTCGAGTCCGTCGCCAAGGCGTGCGTCGACGCCCGACCGACGCCGTTGTAACGTCACGCCGCGGCGACGTCGTCGTCAATGCTCGCCCCGTCGCGCGCGTCCAAGCGGCGACGACGATGGACGTCGATCCTTCTCGTCCTCGCCTTCGTCTCCATCGCGCTCGGCGCTCGAAGACGACGTCTCGACGATCGTCGCGCGACGCCGAGCGGTGATGATGACGCGACGGTGATTCAAACCCCCCGTCGCCCCGAAGCGGTCGCCGCGCGCGACGGCGTGGACGCGCGCTCGGCGGCGCACATCGGCGGTCGCGCGCGCGACGAGCGCGACGCGAACGGCGCGACGGCGTCGAGCGCGGCGGCCGCGGCGACGCGCGCCGGGGCGACGCCGAACGCGAGCGTGGTCGTCGTGACGTTCGCGAACGCGCGCGTGGGCGACGCCGTGGTGAATTGGGTGCGACACATACGTGCGTTGCGCTCGAGCGCGCTCACGGGCGTCGTCGCGGCGCTGGACGAGGGGGCGTCGACGCGCGCGCGGGCGCTGGGCGTCGCGACGTACGCGGCGACGCACGACGATCTCGATCACGACGCGTCGCACGCGAGTGCGAATTGGCGCGCGTTCTGCGCGATGATGGTCGGGGAACTCGTGCGGGTGGTCGAGGCGGGATTTCACGTCGCGCTGTCGGATGTGGACGTCGCGTGGACGCGCGACCCGACGGCGTACTTTTTGTGCGAACGCGACGTCGACGGGTGCGAGGAGATTAAAGACGCGGACGTGATGATCAGTAGCGATAATTTGAGTCCGACCACGGATTGGGGACGTGGGGCGCGGTACGCGCGCGGGGGGGTGTTCAACACGGGCGTGGTGTACGTGAAGAGCTCGGCGCGCGGCGCGGCGTTCTTACGAGAATGGCGCGAGCACTTATTGGCGACGACGGGACCGTACGCCGCGCTCACGAGCCATCAGCAGGTGTTCAATAAGATGGTGCGCGAACACAACGCGTGGCCCGGGATCGACGTCGCCGAGGGCGCGCCCGAGAGGACGAGAGTGTTGGAGTCGGGCGCGCCGCTCTCGACGGGGTTGAAAATCAAAATAGGCGCGTTGCCATTGAAACTCTTCGCGAACGGGCACGGATATTTCGTCCAGGGCGCGAACGCGCGAGGTGGTGATCGTGAAGACGATCGTCTTCGCCCCTACGCCGTGCACGCGACGTACACGTTCGACGGGAGCGGGAACGACGCCAAGCGGTATCGATTCAAAGAGGCTGGTTTGTGGATGGGAGACGACGACGACGCGGCGACGGAGACGACGTATCTCACGTTTGACTTTCCAAACGTGGACGTGAACTCGACGGAGCCGAACATCGGGGATCACGTGAAAGTCGCGCGGGCGAACGTTCGCGCGTTGATAAAGGCGTTCGCGTACGCCGTCGCCCTCAACCGCACGCTCGCGATTCCCCCGTCGCCGTGTCGCTGCGACAAGGTGTGGGGCGGGCACGACAACGTGTTCAAGGCGAAGTGTCGATACCCCGGCGCGGATTCGGAGAACTATCTACCGGGCGTGTGTCCGCTCGATCACTTTGTGTCGCCTCGAAAAATCAAAGCCGCCGGCGGGGATTTCGTCCCGCTCGCGAGCGTCCCCCCGGACGCGGCGCGCGCCGGGACGCGCGTCGATTGGAACGCGACCGACCGCACGATTGACGCCATCGCTCGGTTCGACGCTCCCGTGGTCTCTCTCGGGTCCATCGACGCCGCGCCCGAGCTCGACGTCGACGCCATCCGCGACCGCTCCGCGCGCGCGCGCGCGCTCGCGGTGCGCCGCGCCGCGTCCACCCCCGAGCCCTGGTGCGCCGAGTGTTTACCCGACAAGTGCGCGCGATGGATCCCCGCCCACGTCCTCGCCCTCGGCGCGGTCTTCCCAGCGCGCGGCGGCGCGCAGGAGATGTGGTGCGTCGATTTCACATTGTAACCGCCGCGCGCGCCCGTCGTCCCACGCGCGCGCGCGTCCCCCGTCGCCCCTCTTCCGACCACGCGTCGATGTCGCGAGATCACCTTCGTCTCCACCCGTGGCGTCCATCGCGCCCGACCGACGATCGACGCGATCGACGCCGATCGCGATCGGCACACTCGTCGTCGCGGTGACGGTGATTTTTAAATCACACTTTCCCGCGCTTTTTCCACCCTGGTCCCTCGGTGGGCACCGTCGATGACGTTTCGTCGTCGACACACATCGACGCGCGGCGACGCGCGCGACGATCGACGCCCTCGACGCGCGCGCGCGCGGACGCGGGAAAACTTTCTCCACGACCGACGCCCGCGCGCGGGGTCTCGGCGCGCGCGCACGCGGCGAACGCGGCGGTCATCCCGCGTCGACGCATTCGCGCACCCATCGGCGTGGACATCCATCGCGCGGACGACGGCGGACGCGCGGACGACGGACGCGGCGTCGGAGGGCTGGGGATCGATCGGCGGTTTTTTACGCGCGCGCGGTGACGAGCGCGAGGCGCGCGCGGGGCGTCGCGCGCGCTCGAGGACGGGATCTGGTCAACGCGACGCATCGTTTCGGTCGACCTCGACGCTTGGGCGCCAACGGTCGACGGGGGTGTGAATTCTCAACCGTAGGCGGCGGATGATACCGAGCGGGGTCATGTACGGATCATCGCCCACGGTGCGGCGGAGTGCGTTTGGGAAAAATGCGTCGCATGAGAATACTGTCAATGGAATGAGTGATCGGCGGGTGGCGGCGACGCCGTTCGCGAGCGGGACGTCGCCGGCGACGCGAGCGTCGCCGGCGTCGCTCGGAAGCCGAGGGTCGTTCGCGAGCGCGTCTTGGAGTTCGATTCAAGGTGCGTCGCCGGCGAGCGTGCATAAGAGTGGACACGGGATGGACGATGCGTTGGTGCGAACGGCGAGCACGGAGCCGGCCAAGGTGAAGGTTGTGGGATTCGACGTCGGGGGGAAGGGGGACGTCGGGCGCTCGAGCGCCAAGCCCCCAGTCGGGTTGCTTCGCGCCGAGCTCGCGGGGGACTTTACATGCGACGTTTTCGATAGCGATGCGTATCGACGCGCGATGACGGTTGCTCCGGAGATATTTGCCGAGCCCACGGTGCGGGACGCCTTTGACTTCGCCGCCAAGTCGCACGCGGGACCGGGGCTAGGCCCCCATTTTGATCGATGCGTCGAAACCGCCGTTACGCTCGCCAAGCTTGGCATGGACACGAAGACCGTGGCCGTTGGACTGTTGCACGACACATTGGACGTAACGTCGTGCGAGGTGGATGAACTTCGCGAGCGCTTCTCCGACGAGATCGTCTCCTTGGTCGTCGACCTCTCTCGCGTCCATCGCGTGTCCAAGCTGCATCGCGCGTCGGGACGTAGGCTCGAAGTCGAGGAGCGAGCGCAGTTTCGCGCCATGCTCCTCGCGATGACGGATGCGCGCGTGGTCATCGTCAAGCTCACAGCGCGTCTGATCAAGATGCGTAATCTGCAGAGCACGTCTGCGTCACAGCAGCAAAAGTTCGCTGAGGAGACGCTGAACATTTACGCCCCGCTCGCCGCGCGCCTCGGCATCTTTGCCGTCAAGAATGAGCTCGAGGATCTGACTTTTAAGTGGATGAACCCGGCAGCGTACGCTGAGATCTCACAAGTTCTCGATCAGCGTGAGATGATCGTTTCTGCGCTCACAAAGCTCGATGAGGGACTCGCGTCTCGCAACGCGCAAGTGGTCGACTTGTGCGGTCGTCAAAAGTCCGTGTACTCTGTGTACAAGAAGATGATGGACAAGGGTCATAAACTCGATGAGATTATGGATTTACGAGCGATACGTATCATCATCGCCGACGGCGACGACGACGATGAGTCCGAGCGCACGTGCCGGGAAGTTCTCGAGTCCGTCCACTCCATCTTTACTCCGGTGAAAGGACGCCTCAAGGACTACATCGCGAACCCGAAGGAGAACGGCTACCAGTCGCTTCACTCTTGCGTGCGCGATGAAGCCGGAACTACGTTTGAGATTCAGATTCGATCGGCATCGATGCACAGAACGGCGGAGTACGGTGTCGCGGCGCACTGGCGTTACAAGGAGAATGAAAAGTCGACGACGAGCCCGAAAGTTGATCAACAGATTCAGTGGGCGCGCTTCATGCTGTCCTGGCAAAATGAACTCGATGATCAGCAAAAGATCCGTCCTCTGCGCACCGCCGCCGCCGTGGACTGTGGTGCGTCACTCATGCCGTGCATGTTCCCCACGCACGCGCACGACTGCATGTTCAACACGGCGGAAGGTTTCTGCCAAACGTGCGATGCCGAAGACGCGTCTCCGCACTACGTCATCGTCGTCGTCGACGGCGCGGTTTCGATTCGTGAGGTGAAGCCCGAAAATACTTTGGCCGATCTAGACTTTGAAGATAACCGGGTCCCGGGAGGCGCCCGATCGACCGAGTTCGTCCGCATCTCTGGCATCAAGGTCAACAGAGAGAAGATCGCGATCGCCGACGCGGCCAAGACGACGCTCAAGATGGGCGACGTCGTCGAAGTGACGCGTTCGCGCATCTCCCCCTCGGCAAACAAGAGCTGGGATGAAACCGACAACGTCTCGGTGTTCGAAGAGCTCAACCTCGAGGTTCGCGGACTGCCCAAGTCTGACGCCGTAGACTCTCAGCGTGTTCACCTGACGTGAGAATGAGACACGCGTCCGTCTGTACACCACCTTGTACGCACTGTACCAGTACACTGTACCAACCCGACACACAACACTCCACGAGATGATTCGTCGCATTATAGGCGCCACGACATACAGTTTAATGAAATGATGAATAGTGTTGTACACCACATATCGCGCAGCTGTCGCTAAATATTAGTTTAAAGACCACCCGGGAGCTCGCCAAAGTCGAGCACCCCGGCGGGCAGACGCGCCACCGCGGCGCACATGGCCACGCGGTTGCGCTTCAGCTCTGGATCTTCCGCCATGACGAAAACCTTATCGAAGAAGGCGGTGGACGCATCGTCCATCTCGCACACGGCGGCGATCAAGTCGGTGACCGAGCATCCCTCGGTGATTTTCGCGCGCGCGGCGACGTACGCGGCGTGAAGCGCGCGCTCTTCGTCGCACTCAAAGCTCGCCTCGTTGATGGTCAAATCCGTACCATCTTCCATCTTACCCCGGACCAAGCGCGTAGGTCGGCTGAGTACGCGCATACACGTCTCGAGCGACTTTTCATCCGCGGACACGAGCTGAGCGACCGAGGCGCTCGCCAACGCGGGGTTATTCCCTCGCTCCTTGAGCACGGCGCGCACGCGCTCGACGTCGTTCCCGGCGTCGATGAACAACTGCTCGAGACGGCGCGTGATAAAGGTGACGCATTCATCGACGCGCTCGTTGGAAACCGGCACGGGTTGCTTCGTCGCGGCGATCTCGACGAGGGATCGCATATCGCACGTCGCCCCCGACGCGACGAGCGTCTGAACCAACCCGTACGCCGCTCGGCGGAGGCCAAACGGATCGGCGGACGCCTTTGGTCCTCCGACGACGGCGAACAAGCCGACGAGGGTGTCGAGGCGGTCGGTGACGGCCACTGTGATTCCCGCCGGCGTCTTCGGGAGCAAGTCTCCGGCACTCCGCGGGAGGCACGCCTCGAAGATTGCTTCGCTCACATCCGCGGGCAAGCCTTCCTCGCGCGCGTAGTGTCGACCCATCGTCCCCGCCAACGCGGTGAGCTCCATCACCATGGACGACGCCAAATCCGCGCGAGCTAAGCCCGCGGCATGCGTGGCCGTCGCGACGACCGCGGAGTCGTACCCGAGCACGGCGGCGACGTCGGAAACCAGTCCCTCGACTCGCCGCGTCTTCTCCAACATGTTTCCGAGCTCCTGCTGGAACGTGATGCCGCTGAGCTCGGGCTTGAAATCGGCGAGCTTCTTCTTCAGATCGGATTCGTAGAAGAACTTTGCGTCCTCGTAACGCGCTCGAAGTACGGACTCGTTCCCGTGCTTCACCACGCCCTCGTCGCACGGTCCGTTGGCAAAGGTGACGAAGTGCGGCTTGAGCGAACCGTCGGCGTTCTCCACGGGGAAATATCGTTGATGCTTGCGCATCACCATCACGAGCACTTCCTTTGGAAGCGACAAAAATGCCTCGTCGAAGTCCCCCGTGATCACGGTCGGCGCTTCCACGAGGTTGGCCACCTCCTCGAGGAGGCCCTCGCGAGAGCTCTCCGGGACGTCGCCGCCGACGGATTTCGCCGCCGCGCGCGCGTCGCTCCAAATTCGCGACATTCGATCCTCAAAGTTCACGACGATGCCCTCCTTCTCCAGGAGCGCGTGATACGCCGCCGCGTTCGCGACGGTGTGGACGTCCGTGACGTCACCCCGCGTGCGCAAAAGGCGCGTCGTCGTGCCGCTGTGCACGCCGAGCGCTTCAAACGCGAGATGGCGGTCGCCGTGCGCTCCGACGAGCCAACGAAGCGGTCGCGAGAAGGCGGCTTCGGAGTTCGCGGCCCACCGCATCGTTCGAGGAAACGTTATACCGGCGATAATCTTCGGTAAGACGTCCTCGAGCACGGCCGAGGCTGATCGGCCCTCCTTTTTCACGACGGCCCAGACGTAGTCGCCGTCCCGCTCCAACGCGCTCGCGTCGACGCCGTTCTTCTTACAGAATCCCATCGCAGCCTTGGACGGGGTCACGCCGTCGTCTTCGAACGCACGGCTCAGAGGAGGTCCGCGCACGCGCTCTTCCACGTCGGGTTGTCCCGGACTCAAAGCCTTGATGTCAATCGCGAACCGGCGAGGCGTCGATCCCACGCAGACGCCCTCGTGCGTCAATCCCGCCGCCGCGAGCGCGGCGTCGACGGCGTCGAACAACTGTCGCGCCGCGCTCGCGACGTCTTGCGGTGGCAATTCCTCGGTACCGAGCTCGATGAGGCAATCCGCCGCCATCGTGGGCGCGGCTCCCGTGGTCTCGATCGAGGACGTCCCCGGCGTCGCCTCGGGCAAACCCAGCGGATATCCCAGCTCCTCTCTCCGAGCGACCCAAAGCTGTGCCGTCTCCCGAGCGAGGCGACGCATGGAGGCGAAGAGCTTTTGCCGTTCGGTGACGCCCACGGCGCCTCGAGCGTCGAGGACGTTAAAGGCGTGCGATGCCTTTAACAAATTGTCAAACGCGGGCAACGGCAGGCGCGCGTCGAGCATGCGCGTCGCCTCGGCGTCAGCCAACTCGAAGCGTCGTCGATGCGTCTCCACGCTCGCCGCGTCGAGGTTAAACACGGACATTTCGTACTCTTCCTGCATGCGCATTTCCCCGTACGTCATCGCGTCGTTGTACGCGATGTCCTTGAAGTGATCGACGCCTTGAAGCGCCATTAAAATCCGCTCGAGCCCGTACGTAATCTCCACCGCCACCGGCGACACTTTGAGCGATCCGCACTGTTGAAAATACGTAAACTGCGTCACCTCCATCCCATCCATCCACACCTCCCACCCTAATCCCCACGCCCCCAAGACTGGGGACTCCCAGTTATCCTCCACGAAGCGCACGTCGTGCGCCGCCGTGTCGATCCCCAGCGCCTCGAGCGAGCCCAGATACATCTCCTGCGCGTCACTCGGCGCGGGTTTCAAAATAACCTGAAACTGCGTGTGCTTTTGCACCCGGTTCGGGTTCGTTCCATATCGCGAGTCATCCGGTCGCACCGACGGCTCGGGGTAACACGCTTTCCACGGCTCCGGGCCGAGCGCGCGGAGGAACGTCGAAGGGTTCATCGTCCCCGCCCCCACCTCGGTGTTGTGCGGCAGCGCCACCGCGCATCCTCGCGAGCTCCAGTAGTGTTGTAACCGCGCGATCGCCGCCTCGAACGTCGGGACGTCCGCGCCCGCGCGAGGCGTCGCGCGAGGTCCCGGACGCGTCGACGCGGACGCCATCGCGCGCGCGCGGGCGAGCCGTTTGCCGCGCGTCGACGTCACGCGCGCGCGCGTCGCATCGCCGAGCGCGCGCGCGCTCGGACGGAGTCGAGCGACGACGGACATCGAGGCGACGCGCGGGCGAATGAGGGTTTGCAACGCGCGCCGAATCACAAACGACGTCCACGAAAGAGCCAATCACAGAAGACACATCACGGACGATGAACTGACGTTAACGATCGGGATATCGAATCATCGCGATGCGATGGACGCTTTGTGAGACCGCTCGACCGCGAGCGCGAATGAACGCGGCGTCGGCGTCGTCGCGCGACGCCGTCCCGGCGTCGCCCACCGGCGAGAGGTACTCGTACACGGTTTGCGACGCCACGATCGCCGGTCCCTCGCGCGCGTCGTCGACGTCGCGCCACTTGTACTTTGTCACCACGCGCGTCGATTTCACGCTCGGCGACCCCGAGCGATTGCGATCGAGGACGATCTCCGCGAGTTCGCTCGTCGTCATCGTCCGCGCGTCGTCGTCCCGCGCGCTCGAGCGCGCGGTGATTTTATAAAACACCCGCGTCCCGTCGGATGTGGTCAACTTTAACACGTTCGGGTCATCGATGTCCCACTCGATCTCTCGCACGACGTCGCGTCCGCCGCCTCGACTCGTCGCGAGCGCGTCGACGTTGAACGCGCGGTCGAAGACGACGTCCCCGCGTGCGTTTCGCGCGAACCGCACCGGGTACGTCGTTCGACGCCCGATCTCCCTCCGTTCGCGCTCGAACGTCTCGATGTCTCGCACGTACGACGTCCCGAGCGGGGCGGAGACGTCGACGCACGTCGC